TAAATCTACGATACAGTACTATAATTTTGCAGCTTTGCAGTTAAATTTTGCAACTTAACACCTATTTATCCGGTATCCCTCTAGTTTCAACGGTTAAATTCGATTCCTGCATCTGTAAGATCTCCGAATTCTACAATTCTGTTTAACGGAATCTACAAAAATTATCGGCTACAGTAGTGGATAACAATATAAATTTAGCAGAATGTTTCAAGAACCCCCCTCCAGAATGTTTCAAGAACCCCCCTCCAGGTTTAACAAAATCATCTGTGCACCTTGCAGGATTAGTTGATTGCCCTTAGGGACTCTTCACATATTTCGAATATTTTGTGAACAACACTCTCGCTAGAGTTTAGACTCCCCTGTGTGTTTACTGTTTACACACTTCTCTATTCTGTGTACAAATTAAATTAGCGGAAACATTTCCGCCAATTCCGAGACCCCTCATCCTACTGACGTAGTGTATGTGAACAATCCTACACGTCATTCCAGGACAAACCCAGCTTGATCTACCATTATAGCTTTATACTTAATATAGGATGCACTCTTTCTGAAGTTAGATATTCTCCTGTTCCAGTGTAGTAGCCTAAAGTTAAATATTCTCCTGATATTGTCCTGTTCTAGGTGTTGAAGTAAGCTGGATGTTCCCCTGAACCCACTGTTTACTAATAACCAGGTAGGTTTAACCCAATACCACTGTAGTGCAGTAACATTGACGCCTCCCCACCCCAGTACGCAGGTGTAGGTGCCTAGTACACAGTGTAGTGTAAGCTAGTTCTAACTCACTATGTACATGATGTGTGGTATTTGTAGAGTCACTGTCGCCACGTTCAATGTTATAATATCAACTTCCAGCCCAGTTCCCCGGTTACTTCCCCGGCAGTGACAATTGGATATTGCTCTGTAGTCTTAATATCAATAAGCTCTGTATAGCCTATAATACAATGAGATGCGAGCGATTTATTATTGGCAAGGTCTAGTGGCTTTATTGTAAGACCTATGCCACAAAGATAAATACACGGAATCATCAGAAATTTTCACCAGAAACTATCACAAAGCTCAGAAAATTCATCATATAACTATTCAGAATTATGTGGCATTATTATACATAATGATAATATCTTTGTGTCCGTACTGTTATTATGAGTATTATGAGTTTAGATTGAAATTGGCTAATCTCCTCTGAATTGAATACAAATAACACACGTTATTGCCGACGTTTCGCCCCCATGGCTTCTTCAAGGCGGAACAAAAACTTTGTTACATAGTGACCTGGTAAATATCCAAATTAATACATAAAACTCTGAGAAACATTAAAAATAAATGGGAAGATTCTAAGCGGTAGAAAATTTTAAAGCAAAAGATAGATGTTAGGCCAAAGAATCTAGAACTGTCCAATATTTGAGAGCTAGACCAACGTACACAGAACAGCAACGAAAATAGCTTCCTACTCCCTAACATTTTCGGGGAAACTGAAAGGGTGCCACGTACATATATTTTGATGACATTTACATAATAGCCCATGTGGTCTTTTGCCACGAGTCTGCTTCAGGTGAGAGCTGAGTGTTTATTTTAGGAAGTAACTGCTTGATATACAGTGATTGCCAGATCATTCGGTCTGCATAATCCTTACATACTTTGAGGACTTCAAATTTAAATGGTTCGATAGGAATTTCTTTTATTTCAGGGTGTGACATGAGATAATGTTTCCCCATGGCTGTCTTGTTATTTTTATTCCTTACAGATTTTAGGTGTTCCCAGCATCTGTTGCGTTTGAACCTGCCTGTTTCACCACAGTACTTTGCATTGCAGATATTGCATGTCAGTTTGTACGCTATGTTCTTCTGCATACATAGATCATCACAATCATAGCACTTTGAAGCACTCTGTTTGTTGCATGGTGTAGGGTGTAGTGCTGATCTAGTGAGTATTTCTCCCAGTTTCTTGTCCGGATAAAATGATACTTTGGTTTTGTCCAATAGATCATTTTGACGTAGAATCTGATATACTTTCCGTTTGTGGTATTCATTAACATATGGGAGGCTTAGGTACTGTGTGATTCTCAGTCGTGTCTGGTTAGGTGGTTTATCTTTGTTTATTTCCCTCGTCAAACTCTCTATAACACTGGGTGTAAAATCGTTGGAGAGTAACATGTCTTTGATTTTATTTACACCACGTTGTTTGAATTCGTCTGTAGATCCATTTCTCACTGCTCTTAACAACTCGTTCCTAGCACTATTCATAATAGTACTTCTCGGATGTCCAGAGTTGTAGTTGAGGAATATGCCCAAACTTGTCGGTTTTATGAAGAGTTCGAATTGTGGTTTATCTGAGTTCTCTTGCAAGTGGATAGTGAGATCTAAGAAGTCTATTTGTTTAGGGTTAGCTTCATATGTGAACTGAATTTTCGGGTTAAGCGTGTTAACATACTTAAAGAGTTGACTGACGTCATTTTCTGTTCCTTCCCCTATAGTGATACAGTCATCAACATACCTGTTCCAGCAATACACAGGCATGAGATTTGATGGTCTATCTCCTGGTTCAGCTTCACTGTATGTGAAATCTTGTTCCAGTAATGGTTTCTCTACTGTCAAGTATACGTATATGATGGCAAATGGTGGGGCTGGTTTTACTCCCATCCCTAGTCCTTCCGTTTGTCTATAGTATTGTTCATCAAATCTAAAATATGCAGACTGAGTCACGGTTTTCAGCATAGTGACAAAGTCAAGGTGTTCTATCCCAAGCATATCGATTTTATCCCTGTGATGTTTGATAAAGTCTGAGACCACTTTGACTCCATGTTCCAGTGGGATGTTGGTGTATAGGCTCTTCACATCGGCTGTTATGAGCATGTGATTGGAGTTTATTGAGCATTGTTGCAGTCGCTGTCGGGCCTCAGTGGAGTCTTTGAGGTGAACAGGTACATACTGAAGGGCTTGTTTCAAGATGTGGTTGGTAGCATGTCCAAGTCTCTCTCCTGGTGAGTCAACTTGTGATGTTACTGGTCGTAGTGGGGGTGTATTATGAGTATTGCTGAAAGCACAGTGTACCTTAGTGCAAGAAATATAGGCGGCAAGAAATTAAGGCGATTCTGACAAAATCGCCTTAATTTCTTGCCGCCTTAATATCTGACCACCGTAATTTCTAACCGCCTTAATTTTTTTTCTTGCGATTTTTTCATAAGAAATTTTCGTGTGATTTTATTATTTTAAATTTACATGTCGATTTCGTTATTTGCTAGAATTCAATGAAATACATATTTAAAATAAATTAACTTGAGTCTAAATACATTAATATATCAATTAATATTCTCGTCTTCTCCTTCTTCATCAGAGTCATATATCTCCAGCAGCTGCAATCCATAACCAAGATAGTCGTCGTCATCTTGCTCCGTCGTGTCTGGAAATAGCTTCTTGATAATATCAGCTGATTCATCCTCCAAACGTTTGTCGAAGCTGTACTTTTCGTCGACTAACTTCTTGAGGAGCGTTATTCCCTTCTCATTGGTCCATGAAGCAGTTACAGATACATAAAAATTCCTTGCCGCGTACAGAATGTGCACTATCATTTTGTCAAATGCAATGAATATACCAATTGACTTGCAGTTTGCTGATGTAGTGGATGTCTACCTAATTTAAAATTATAAACTTAGACGACAGAACAGCAATCACTATAAATATAATGTGCATGCACCATTTAGTTTTTATGTGACCAATGTCCAATATATCGTATTTTTAAACAGATTTCTATGCTTTATAGACTGATAAAAGAATAAAATTGACACTATTTCGACCAAAACTATAACCAAATTTGCGATCAAAAATCGTATTTTTTCCGAAAAAAATATCGCCTTAATTTCTTGCCGCCTTAATTTCTAGCGCCTTATATTCTTGCCGCCTATATTTCTTGCACTAAGGAGGCCTACACGGACCGCCTCTAACTAGTCAATCCCTGTTTACATGCCGTGTAGCAGGGGACTAGAAAGAGCTAAACTAGTAAGCGGGGCATAGCCAATACACTAAACTTCCATCATTGAGTATATTACCAACCAGAAGGAAAATTTCCTTGTGTTTGGAATCTACCAAGACGAAAGTTGTACAATCCAGCGAAATTCCGAAGAATCATTCCAGTAGACTAGGCGCATTGCAACCACAGCCACGAAAATACTTATGAGTATTGCTGAAAGCACAGTGTAAGGCCTACACGGACCGCCTCTAACTAGTCAATCCCTGTTTACATGCCGTGTAGCAGGGGACTAGAAAGAGCTAAACTAGTAATTTCTTTGTTTCTAATAGAGACACTAGTTGTAGTATAGACAGGTGTAGATCTATAGAGATAAGATGGACGCGGTCTGTGAGAATTATTAACCGGTCAAGCTTTAATATCAGCTACAATAATGGTGATATTATGTTCTATAACTGGAGGGGGTTCTTGAAACATTTATTATGTTCTATAGAAACATATAATTATATGTTCTGAGGAATATTTTACCAGCGTTAAACGCATTATATAATGACTGCTCAATGTCAAAGGAAGTTGCAGGGCATGCACTATCCCCAATGAAAATTCCTGTAGCTCTAGCTTTCTACAGAATTTTCAACAGTATAATTTGCATAAAATGTGAACGTAATGAGAGCTGCCATCTGTCCGATCCGAAGGGTGTCTCCAGGAGTGTCTCCAGAAGGGTGTCTTCAGGAGGGTCTCCAGGAGGGTCTCCAGGAGGGTCTCCAGAGGGGTGTCTCCAGGAACTGTCACAACACTAGTTATCTAGTTAGTAGATACTTAGTATTAGTAAGTACTTTGTATTTCTCTAAGTTATTATATCAGCCTGGAATAACACAGGTAGTTTGGGCCGTCAGTTTGGGAATTCAGTCATTTGAAACTATTTGTTGGATAGGAGCGTTGAAAGTAGTAATAGTTGACAGTTCTAATACTTTCAACACTACTATTTGCCTAATAATACACCCGGTGAAATGCCTTTGCAGGCCTAGCATTAACAGTGACAAATTATTTTCTTCGGCAAAAGCCGACATAGTCACGAAAGCCCACCAAGCCTTGAGAAACATTTAGAGAAAAATAGGATCCATATCAGTTTGTTTACTGTAAATGTGGATGTGCAGCTATAATTACTCTAGTACAGGCAACAAGGTTACTATAATTATATACCAATCTATATATCCCTATATATATAATAATATTATATAATATACCAGATTTTCTCTACACATGAAGCCCACAGAGAACTATAAGAGGAGAGAGAACCTTAACCTGCTTAAGTTTAAAGTTCACCTGGTATGTATTACGAAACTGTCCGTACCACTCCAGCTCTCTCCCTGTTAACAACATTAACACGGCTCACTAAGATACTAGCCCGTGTTTTACCCGTATAGAATCTAGTGATGAAACATCTCTCATATCACTACCACTCTCCATCCAATTTCATTAAAATAACCGACGCTGCTTTTTCTGGCACTTTTCCAACAAGGCCAGGGATCGCACGTCACGTGACACAAACTGACTAATCACAGAGCTGTATTCTGGTCACGTGACTTCGAGATAAAACGTGTAGCTTGTTACTGGTCCCAGGTTCACTTGTTCAGACGCACATTTCTTATCTTTCATGATCCGTTTAATGCTATTTATGCGCATGTCGTGAAAATGTTTGGATATTACATTCATTACATACCACGTGGTACACGGTATGTCAAGTATAGCACGTGTCACGTGATCAAGTATAATATGTGTGATGTGTCACGTGATGTGTGACTTATGAAAGTGGCAGGGGGTTTGATTAGATTTACAGGGGCACATGGTTGCGAGGGGCGGATCCCATTTTAGTAACTATTTCGGGAGAGCCCAGGGGACTGCACTGAAAAAGTACTAGATTAGATTGAAAATTGTAATATTATCACGTGACAATGCTACTCGTCACGTGATGCTTATCTTGATCTGTCCTGGTTTGATTTAGTGTCAGGACAGTAGACCTTGACGTAAAATAAACTGCTGGACTGCTCAGATTTAACAGGACATTATGAAAGTTGAGTCAAGAAGCGTCGCGAAAGGTGGCTTCTACGGTTAAATTTTGTTTTATTTTGTTATATTTTGTTATATTTTGTTAACTAATGGACCATTTAGCCTGTTCATCAGTTTATATCTAGACGTACTAAACAATTTAGTACCCAAGAATTTTACAAACTGACTGCAAGTAAACAAAATGAGACAATTTGTTCACAGAATTGGAATAAATTCATTGAAATAATTACATTGAAAAACTGTAAAAACTGTATAAAGATCAAACATCCTTTTAACCGTTAAGGATCTATCTGTTTGAAAGATATTGAACAAAAATTGCCTTGCTTCCACCAACAAAAACGTTGATACCAAATTTAAAAACAGAATCGTAATATAACATAAAACAACTACTTGCAATAACATAAGAATAAAATCCCCCATTTTAAACTTCCCTTTCAATTATCTTGTACACTTAAGAACAGACACCAAAAACAAACTCAGATTCAAAACTCAACACTTTCCTCCAAAATACCAACACCTAGTGTAAAGTCCTAGTGTAAAGTCCTAGTGTAAAGTCCTAGTGTAAAGTCCTAGTGTAAAGTCCACAGTTTTAGTTTCTCAAACATGAAGGTCCTCTTAGCGTCCTCCCGGGGAAACACAGTAGCAATTACCTTGGTAACAGAGAGTGAGGTTACAAACTCTTCCAGCTCTGAGAAGCTGCTGTGTTCACTGTACGGTACTGGGTAGATTCGTACTTTACCACTCCCACTAGGCCGGATATCTGAGGGAATAGGCACGTGTTAGCACGTGTTAGCACGTGTTTAAGCATATATATATAGATTATAGTGCTGTATAAAATGTAATATATCTAAAATATCTGGAGGGGGATTTGTTTAAAACATATTATATAAGTGATACGAAAAGTTTGTTTTAGCAAAATATGGTAATATATTTAAAATGTAATAAAATATAATAAAGTATTTAATATTATTATATAACTTTATTCAAATCAAAAATAGAACATAAATGAACATCTTAAAGATCTGATAAGTAGCCAGAAAAAAAAGAAAAACTGATACACAAGCTATAACAACTTCTTCCATCCCGCTCTATCAGAGGCTAAAAGTCTTAAATTGTACAAATCGTCTGTATTTACAAATGGAATGTTCCTGCTACCTAAATCAAATTTAATAGTCTTAAGCATATATTTACGAAGTCTGTCCCTCCTCCAGCTCCCGTCCCTCACGCAAAATTACTGACGAGACTAATAACATGCTACTTTCAATTTCACAAATATTTTATTTTTTCATATTTTGTAGTTTAAGGTTGCCTTTTAAGTGTGGAATAACGCGCATGATTCGTTGAATCAAAAGTTCAGTTTCAGTTTCGGTATAAAAATATACAGTTGTTAGTTAATCCACAATTATTTCTCAATCTCAGTTCAACTGTGGGCCTAAATTAATAATATTATAGCACATAATCACTATTATATAGTTAAAAACTTGGATCACACACACGCTATGATGATCACATCCAGTTCATATTTCCAAATTGTTTGTTTTGTTTTGAAACCCCACGGTGGAGGCTGGCGTGTGCCGCAATTTATTAATCAATGGTAATTACATGATAAATGAAATTATAGAAGTCACACTAAAATATAATAATGTAAAATAATATATATTAAAATAAATGCCCTAAATATTCATACAAAGTACACTTTTGCAAACAGGCGTGGTTTTAACGCCCATGATAACTGTGTGAACATTGTACCTGACCTACATTGAGCAGACAAACTCTGTTGATAATAGAGTGCAGGTGTACTCAATAGTCGTTTTCCGAGAAATATTCATGGGCCATGAATATTTCTCGGAAAACGACTATTGAGTACACCTGCACTCTATTATCAACAGAGTTTGTCTGCTCAATGTAGGTCAGGTACAATGTTCACACAATTATAATTGTTATTAACAATTACTGTTATAATGGACTCTCTGGCATTTCATGGATAGATAGGATAAATGTGGCGAAAAAAAATTGAGAAATAAGTTTTTGACCCTGCTAACCTGCTAAATCAGTGTTCTGATTGTGAGTCCACCCGGTTGGTTTGACGCCCACTACTGAGGAAAAGGTTGTTCTTGCCAGTAGCTTTGAGAGGCTTCCAGGGTTTATTTCCTTCATAGGCACTGAGAAATTAACAGTAAAAATAATGGTGGTAGTACAGAATTATTAACATAAGCAAATCCAAACATGCAAATTCATAAACAAGGTACCAGTAATGTTATTGTACAGTGCGGTAACTGAGTATCAATAATGATTAATGAAGCGTATTATCTGAGTAGTGTAATCCTCGTGTAAAATCTGGTCAAGTTTTGTAGTAACTGTTATTTTATATCCTTCTTTCAGTTACGTCAGAAGGACTGCTCCTTATTCCTGAGAAGCTCAATTCATGATAACGTGAGAGAAATATTGCTTTTGGTAGCTAAAGAGCCATTCAAATGTTGCTTGGTGTGACCAGGGGATCATTCTCAGGAGCTGAGAATTGGGAAATTTAATTAATTCTCATGAGGTGGAGCTACTCAGCAAAAAAGTTAGAATATTTTTGAAGATTTTCTGATCAAAAATTTAGGAAACCTATATCAAATATCCATGAAATTGCATTATATATATATACTAGTGTAACCCGGCCTACGGCCGGGATTTCACTGCCGCAGTTAAAAAGGGTAGGAGTAATTACCCGCAGAGTCAAAACCCGCATTAGGTGACCCAATAGTTTCTTAAACAATAATCTCATAATCAGTTATTTCTTGTGGATAATTAAGTCATTATTAGCCATGAGGCACCACACTCCATGATCATAAGGTCTGAACACCGATTATTACACCTCATCACTCCCGTCTTGAACCGCTTTCTATTTTTATTTAAATCGTTATAGAAATTAACCCTTGTTAACTCCGCACCACACCCGCATATTATATTTGAAAACACGCATAACATTGTCGTATGAACTCTCTCTCTCTCTCTCTCTCTCTGCAGTCCAAACAGACCCCAAACACTAACAGTCCCCCCTCCCCTAATAAGCTTAAGGTATAACATTACAGCAAATCTTCCAGGCTAATCCAATTATGACGCTACTTAAATGCAGCTATAACATATTACACAGTAATGAGAGAGAGAGAGCAAGTCCCGTAACTCTTGCCGTTCTGCTCACGCAATTTTATGTAACATTTGTGGTACAAAACCATCAATTAAACCACTTACCATCGGCCGATTTTAAAAAAAATTTCCTATGGGCTTCATCAGAGTTTTGTCGACACTATACCGAAAAAATCAGTCCCGTAACTCTTACCGTTTTTTTTGTATAACCGACCGGAAATTACACACGGACAGACAGACAGACAGACACACACACACACACACACACATTCTGGTGTTATTATATATATATCTATTTTTTTAATAGAGTGAATAGCCTATAATTATTATGAGCCACCTAGTCGACCCATAATTCAGCACATTTCCGGCCACCCGTTCGATTTGGCACAATATAAAATTATATGTTCCTTACCGATATAATATCACGTACCACTCCTCTACAAACATGATAATATAGTCAGTTACAAATGGAAAGATCGAACTTGAAGTATTTTTGCACAGTTCTGAGATAATCGAATGGAATACAACTTTCTAGTTCTTCTTCTGTCTAGTGTCTGTCTCTTTTCGACTTATATCATATAATAGGAGTTCGAGCAGTTTAAAATCACAAAATTGTTAGTTATAACCTTTTCAATAAGCACGATCATTCTGAGCCATGTGTCCACCGATACTTAGCCGATCTTAATGTTTCAATGATCATTTTAAGTACAGTTTTAAGTCGTATGTCAAAAATAGATTTAAGTGACTTTAAGATCATCCGTACTTAGTTTTCTGAGCACGGAACTTTATTTGGTCGAAAAGATATAATACGACTTTTTGATTGAGAAAAAATTGACCCCAAATTTTGTACCCTGAATGATCATCATGAAAAGGTCATGCGTACACTTACGACGTTTCTAGCGGAAACTGACGATATATTAAAATATTGATAAAGGAGCTATATTATTATAACGCACATTGTTATTTCCCTTACTTATACTTCATTACTGACGTGCAGCGTTTATGCCATGTAAGGCTCATAGTTATAATAAAGCAGAGGATGAGGAGGAGGAGGAGGAGGCAATTACTACACAATATACCTCACAATCGGCACTGTCTTGTCTTCACTTCATGAAATAAGCTCATGTTACACCAAATAATAGAGGTTTTTGTATCTATGGAGACGGACTCACTCTGAGGTTTTCAAGGTAATGTTCATAAGGGCAGAATGCGGGTAGTATGCGGAAATAAGTAGATTTATATTTCTGTTTTCTATAGGCGGTTCTTAACCGGTTCTTAACCGGTTCTTAACCGGTTAAGAGCCGGTTCTTATCCGGATCTAAATTTATTAGTAGATTTATAAATCTGTTTTCTATAGGCGGTTCTTAACCGGCTCTTAACCGGTTCTTAGCCGGTTCTTAACCGGCTCTAAGTTGGTTCTTAGGTTGTTTAAATGCAGTTTTAGAGGCGGTTCTTCAACGGTTCTTAAGCGGTTCTTAAGCGGTCCTTAGACGGTTCTTAAGCGGCCGCTCACCGGCTCTTGACTGGCTCTAAACCGGCTCTTAACCGGTTCTTAACCGGTTCTTAAGCGGTTCTTAGCCGGTTCTTAAACGGTTCTTAAGCGGCTCTTAAGCGGTTCTTAAAAGGCTCTTAAACGGCTCTTAACCGGCTCTTAAGCGGTGGTCGGTCTTTGACCTAATTCCCAAATATAGTTCAAGTTCTGATATGGGCGGGATTTGGTCTGTGGATATCCACTTTGTGGTGCAATCTGTAGAGTTAAATAAATGGAAGGGAGGTAACCTATGTCTATAATTTAACAAGCTATTTAAGTCTGAGTAAATCTGGCAGTCTTCACCGCATTGTTTATTTATTATAGGGCTGTAATTGTAGAGAGAGAGGGTGGAGTTTAATAACCGTGCCTCTCTGTACCATGTTTAATATCTGGAAATAATCCTCCAGAACCGCTGTTAGCGAAGACCAGACGCAGCAACAACCCCTGGTGACCAAGCAACTGCGTAGTCAATGTGACATAGCACGCAGTAGAGGGGTTGTTCAGGGTGGGGGAGGATCTTGGTTAATAGGCTCTTCTGAGGCTCTTACAGTTTACGGAGCCTAAATAACCTAGGACAATCTGCGTGTGACGACGGCAAGATATTAGGGTATTACAGGGTTGGGTTATAACTTATAATATTTGGGGATTATCTAAAAAGAATATTAGGCCGGAATTAGAGTCTCCAGGACCGGGTTATATGCCCCCCCCCCCCCCCCCCCCCCGTTATATTGAGAAAGATGATATTATCCACTTGATATATTATGTGGAGATAAATTGTTACATTGGGAGGTTGACACGATGTCAACATTGGGTTATTTATTGGCGTCAAGATGTGTGGTGGTTGAGTTTCTTACCTATGTGGAGTCTGGAGTTTATGTTTTTGGAGAGTCTGGAGGTGAGTTCCTTGTTTTCCTGCATCTTAATCAGGTTCATCTTAGTCTGGTTAACACATATCTTACAGTCCAGAACTTTAGCAATACCTTCAACTATTCTCTCTTTGCCTGGAGGAAACTGTGGTTATAAGCTATGAAATAGAATTCCGTTATCTATTAAGCGAACAATTTATTAATCAAGTATTAAAATCTCACTTAGGAGAAGGTGATGTCTATTTATAGATATTGATTGAAATGTTCAATAGTCAATAAAGTCCATCTCCCCACAAATATCTATTTTACGTGTGAAATTCTCTCCTTAATGACCCCCCTCTTACTTAAATTACATTGATTGGGTGCTCAGTCACGTTCCTTAATTCTTAAATTTACCCAAAATAGTGCGTCTGGATTTCTGCCAAGATCTCAACCGTTGCTCCTGATCGAGAGATTCAATGAAAGGTTTGCGGAGATTCTGAGAATATTGAGATTTCGTACGTGCCAAGGGCGGTCACCAGGATAAGCTGTTATCTAGTTTAATTTAATTTTCCGCTCTACTGGCTACTGCATTTAGGGGAAAAAAATCATGCGGAAACTGAAATATCAAAAGATGGGATCATATTCTTTGACTTATAAGTTTGAGGTTAAATTACTAATTATCACAAATTATTAGGATACAGGCCTGCAAGGAAGGGGTTACTGAGGGTTTCATTTACCATACGACCAAAATGTTGGTTCTCTCGAGTTCCAGACTTTCAGCTGTATTCGTTCTGTAACAATTCTGCAAACACCGCCAAACATTTCGTGGGAGAAAACGTCACATTCCCTTCAAGTCCAGAATTCACTATGAATTATGATCTAAAATACCACGATTCTCACTCAAACCCCACCTCCAAATAGCAGTTGACTAACGAAAGCCGTAACCAAACTGAATTCAGTACCTACAGATATCTTGTTCGAGAGATGTGTGCTTGACCCAAAATTATTTTACAGACTTCAGTTTGATTTAATATTATTAGTATTATCTAATTCCTCCATTCACCCCAGAATTTATCACTCTATTGCATTTAAAGTGAAAGTTCAAAACCCAAAATAGCACAAGATGGGTCGGTATTCTCAGAGTATTGTTATAATCTAATTCCTTAGCTACTCCAGCAAATTCCAAGGATGAATAGTATTTCACTTTTGTTAAGAAGTAAGAACAGACAGGATGCCCTCCGAACACGAAAACCTCAAAAGGCGAAGACATTCTTAGACTCTATAATTTGATTTGTAAGACTTTATAATTTGATTTGTTAATGCTTTATATTGGAAATATTTCCAAGCTTCAATCACTACTCCTTAGTTATATCAAATTACAAGGCTTTTTGTCTGGTGATAAAGTCATTTATCATCTAGTTTTAAAGACTTCATTGCTTTTTAATTAAATTTGTAACGAAAACTGTATAGTAACCGAACTTTTGAAGGGAAACACTAATCTCGAGCTATTTTGAATATTATTGGGATTATTATGAGAATATCCAAGAATAATATGTTGGAACAGCATTGCACTTTTGTGAAGAAAACTCCGATTGGATTTAAGGGCGGGCGTTTTATAGCCTATACGAGATGAGGCCGATCACAACTTTATTCCTGCTCATAACTCTTTAATTTCAGCATAAAATGATGACTTGGGTTTCGCTAAGAAGCTGCTTCTCTCTGGTTCGGAGTTTAACGGAAGTTTTGTTCTGATCCCCGAGGAAAATTCACAAATTTTGAGAGCACTGGGTCCCGTTCAATTCTATCTAAATATAATATTATATCCTGTTCGAGAATTGCGTGACTCGAAATGTTATCAAATTAGTCTCTTATTCTACAGACTTCATTATCTTATCAAATTAATAAATTAGTCGTACAAACTTCAGAGCACTTTCTGATTAAATAACCTCCAGCCCCTTCCCAGTACGAATAAATCCTTAGATTCAGGAATAAGGGAGAAGTAGTGCAGTGCAAGTGGTTCCCAAAAATAACCTGGGAGAAGTAGTGGTTCCCAAAATAAGGGAGAAGTAGTGGTTCCCAGAAATAAGGGAGAAGTAGTGGTTCCCAAAAATAAGGGAGAAGTAGTGGTTCCCAAAATAATGGAGAAGTAGTGGTTCCCAAAAATAAGGGGGAAGTAGTGGTTCCCAAAAATAAGGGATAAGCAGTGGTTCCCAAAATAATGGAGAAGTAGTGGTTCCCAAAAATAAGGGAGAAGTAGTGGTTCCCAAAAATAAGGGATAAGTAGTGGTTCCCCAAAATAAGGGAGAAGTAGTGGTTCCCAAAAATAAGGGATAAGTGGTGGTTCCCCAAAATAAGGGAGAAGTAGTGGTTCCCAAAAATAAGGGAGAAGTAGTGGTTCCCAAAAATAGCGTTCAAGTCCAGTTTCCAGACAGTGTGGGACAAAAAGCGGTAAGTTTAATATTTAGAGATGGTTAATTACTTTCTAGTTTAACTTTAAAGTCCACTTTAATGTTTTGTAAAATAATATATTAGTTAGTTAGTTGGCAAGCTTTCCTGGTGAAACGTTTGATTCAATAATATTATTATCTATTCCTTCAGTGAGTAGAGCAGACAGGTACGGCGAGAGAGGTGCCTGTAATTTTACGTATCTCCGAATATTGTAATATTAAATGCCACATAGCCACGCATTGATCGTGAATTGTTTGATATTTAGACTTTATAATTTAGTTAGTTAATGAAAATAATATGTAAGAACAAGTATGTATGATAAGTTGGAACAACAAAATTGCAGTTTTGCAAAGCGTTAAGCGTACTGATAAGATGTTAAAAGCACGCGCCTCTGAATATAATAAATTCGGAGAAATATTCGGAGTAAATTTGCACCCTGCAAATCCCTGCAAATTCACGATATAGTGTCTACCCTACAGAGTACAGACTATAGCCTGGTTTATGTAATACTGTATGTCTAATATTTGTGCAGTGGGCTGATATCGAAAAAAACAATAATTTAGAATTTTGGAAGTTTATACTTCAATTTTATTTTCCACAAAAAAAGGCCAATAGGCAATAGTTATAAGTTATCAATGGAATTTTGCTAGCTTTCAGAAGAATAACCAATGGTATTATTCGTTGGAAAAGTCACCTTTCTAAAGAATAATATCATTGCTTATTTTAGTGTTATGAACGTGTTATAATCACGTTATTAGTAGTTTTGGCCTCTGAGGAATGATACGCTGTCACTGTAAGTGTTTCGTGCCAAGACCGAATCTTACTCACAACTATTTCTTTAGACTCTGATAATTGGTAATACAACCATTGCGTTTTTGAACTTTCCTCTCAGCAGTGTCACTCTCCTACCTGGCCGCACAAAAGCAACAGGTTTAATCTTGTGTTTAGAGACAGTAAACGGGTAAATACCCTGGCACGGAAAAGTGGGCAAATAAGTCAACAATCCTGGCAGTTAGACAACATAATACTGGGACATTTACAATTTACACCTGCCATACCAAACTATTACCTTATATGGACATCACGTGTTACCAGGAATCAAAACTCTTTTTATATTATGCATCGATTATCCTCGGCTCGCAACACGTTCTACAAGAATAGACAAATCGGTAGACAATGCTAACTTACCCGGGCCTATTGTGTAGGGTATACACGCTCGTGAACTGTATAGTATTGGGAAATTTGAACAAAAACGAGACATGAGGACATGTTCATGAGCATACCCCTACACATATGGAATGAAATGAGGTAATGTGCTTGTATATTATATATATGCTATAATTAGACATTTTAGCTTATTCCTCCCCCTCAAACGAATATTTTCATTCGAATATCTCCCCTTATTTACTATCTGATCGTATTCTAACCTATAGTGTAAGATCCGCACACTATCAGAGTATCCCTGGTGAACTGTAGAACCTCCCCCGCCATGTACTGAATAACGTCCTCTTGAGGCGGGAACTTGTAGAGTGGGTCGCAGTAGGTGGTGTCCAGGTAGAGTACTGAGAGGGACTTGTTGAGGAGCAGGGGGTGGGACAACATTGTAGCGTTATACCTGGCGGTTATTATAGTCAGGTGTATAGTTAACGTGTAATTCATTTTTATTCCAAACCAAAATCTTCAACGTTGTATTACGTTATGTTGTATTTTAAGTTCAGCCAATGAGTTAATCAGAGAGTAGAATTATTATAATATAACCACATTGGCACGTTATCACATTTGCACGTGATCACATCACATTTGCACGTGACCACATACCTGAAGTCCCCAGTGTGTAGAATAGACCCAATACTGGGAGACTCGAACAGGAACATAGCAGAGCCCGGACAGTGGTTAGCTGTTATGAGACTCACTTCCACCCCCTCTACCACTTCTATCTGATCAAACTCCAGGCTCCTCACTCTGTCAGGACTGACTTTAAGGTTGTTGATAACGTAGTTGGAGGTGACTTTACTGCAGTAGACTATACCAGTGAAGTGCTTGTTGAGACCCATATAGTGGTCTGAGTGGAAGTGGGACAGGAAGTAGGCGGTGCATTTGGGGATCTCCCCGAAGTTGAAGGCGTCCACAGTAAAGGTCGTCCCTCTGACCCACTTGTAGAAGGGCACTACACGTTTTGTAGGTTTCTCTGGTTTAGGTTCAACCTTAGGGTGCTTGGCTTTGAGGCCAAACATTGCACCTAGATCTAGTTGGGATGTACCCTCCTGTTTTACTAATTTCTTGTCGTGATGCTTTGGTGCTAGGCCGAACATTGAGCCCAAGTCTAGTTGAGAAGTACCCGCCTGCTTGATTAGTTTCTTTGGTTGAAGGGGTGTTTTTGGAACTGAAGAGGCTGGATGTGGTTCTTTGTCTGGACTCACGAATTCCTTTTTGCCCTGACCTGATATTACCTGAGATTTATTTTTCTCATTCTGATTCTTAGCTGACTGATTTTTAGTATTTTCTGAATCCTTCTTGCTGGGAGAAGTGGTATTATCCCCCAACTCACTAGACGTCCCTCCCCTGACCTTGCTAAACAAGGAGCTCTGTCTCAGTCTCCTCCCGTTAACCCTGCTACAGAGAGACTTGGTCGCTATCTTAATGTTCGCTATCTGCTCCTTCACAGCTACTTTCTCTTCACTCAGTCTCTGCTCCTTCACGGTAGGAGTGATAATGTTTCTCTCATTCTCGTTCTCATCGTTAGGAACAGTTTCTACCTCCAGGTCTCGTAAACAGGTGACCTCCAACACTGATCTACCTAACACACTGCTATTACTACTCAGAAACGCGTCCAACTCTGATACTTTACTGTCATGTTTTACAGCTTCATCTGCTGCATTTAACCGCTTATCACAAAGTACTGCAGAGACTTCACTTGCTGGCTTGCTGCAGTTGTTGTGTGAAACTGGAGGTATTTTTCCAGGGGACCACTCTTTGGAGCTCAGAAACTCATTTTCAACAAGTTTTTGAGGGGATACTGGAGGTTGGACCGGTGCCAGGGGCGCTGTGCGCCGTCTTCTTTTGTAGGTTCTGAGAGCCGGCTTTGTAACGAAATCATCATCATCGCTCATTTTACTTCTGTAATATGAGAGCAATTACAATCCTACAATTCCATAATTTGAGAGCAATTAAGTTTGAGCTGATCTTATTCTAGCTGAGTATTTGTTATGCTATCTGAGTCACAGTTAAATATGGAGGCAGGCATACTAATTTTAAGAGGTTTCATGCACATTGGACTGTATTAATAATCCCTGAACGGCATGGTTTAGTTGGGTAGTAATTGTTCATTTATGTTTATTGCATAATTAACTGGGAAGGATCTGAAGTAAACTCAAGCGAGCCAATAGAACAGTATAAGAAGGTAGTACGTGCCCGGAGTAAAATAAAATAAAAGATATATTCATACTTTGTTTATTGAGTTATAAGTTACAAAATAGACTATAAAGAATTTATGCAATAAAATAGCCTAAAATAAGACTCAAATGTTAAAAAAACCGGTCTGCTCTCAGAGTTAATAATTAAGTTCGATGTCGGGATAACCTTCTAAATGCCTTACAAAACAGTTAAATATTTGAGAGAAACCCTGTATGTAGTGAACGGTAGTGAAGCAGATAATCAACACAGATTCTCCGGCTCCACGTACTAACTGCTATCAAAGTGAAAACTTCACAGTTATAAGATGCTTTTCAGTCAATAAAACGATCGAATCTTCTCGAGGATAAACGCCCAAAACTTCCGAATCATCCGAATTGTCCAGTGTCATAACAAGAAGTTTACCATAGGAACTATCTCTAGTACAGTTGTAAATGTAAACATGTCTGGAGATGTCAACTATAGCTGCGTACTTCTTACTGTCCGTTACAATAAACTTCTTCTGAGTCTTGGTGGCCTGGACCATGTTGAAGGCGTGGAAAGTGTCCGTGTGGAGCCAGGGAGAGGTTACAGTGCCTTGGTGACCAGGAGTGTTCAGGTTGCTAGGGTTACCAGGGGTGTTCAGGTTGCCATGGTTACAGGCCGAGTTGTCAGGGTCGCCCGACTTGTAATAACAGGCATCAACACTGTGGCTCACAACGAATCCCCGGTCTGAATCAGAGAAGAGGAGGGTGCCTGGAGACAGCTCCACTAAGTACTCTTGTTGGAGCTCCTGAGGGCCAAGAGTGAAGCCGGACAGGAGGACCTGGAATAATTAATAAGTTTATAATTATTATAGTTATTACTAGTTTATAATTATTTAAGTAATAATCTTATAATTTGGAACGATATATAACGGGGTTTATGACAAATGAAATACAGGGAAAGTTAGAATTTGAAAACGGTTCAGCTGACCATCAGCACCAAGCTAAGTAATTTGTCAGATTGTCTCACTTCGCTCGCAGAAACAACGCGTTATGCAAACTGCATAATGAAGTTTTAATAATTCATAATATGCGCATAAAAATAAACCACGTTCTCTTCTATACCTGTTGTCCGTCCATCTCATCGCACTCCTCAAACTCCTTGTCAGGAGTGTAAAGAGGAGACTTATCTATCGTATCAGAGGTGTACTCGTTGAGTGACTCCATCCTCCGCATAACGTTCCTCAGCTCCTCCTCACTGAGGTCCGAGATCTGGGAGAGCAGGTTTCCTGAGGGGTCGTAGTGGGGCGTGTCCAGCAGATGCGCCCAGTTGTGGGCCTCTTGGTACTTTGTCAGCATCACTTCTACTTTCTTGTTATCTGAGGACATGTTCCAGGTTGACTCCTTCGGTTCTACTTTGCTGAATAGCTTGGATTTGAATAGCTCCTGACCGCCTTTGGTGCGGACCTGAGAGGTATAGAGTGTTACAGTTTGTTACAGTGTGTTACATTTCAGATGGAGCGTTATTATACTGTACATTTTCATGGTCTGACTAAGTGATGGTGCTAGATGATAAAGTGACTTCTTCGCGTGTGTTATGTGTATGTCACATTACGGTATGTGTTTAGTTTATCAGCAGAGTACACGATTACTACGTGTCAAGAAAGCTATGACATAACACACTCATAATGTACCTCGAGCGAGTCTAGTCCTATGTCCACCATCAAGTCCGTCTTCAATATCCCACTGGGCAGCTGTATACTGATCTCCACATCTTCGAGAGACTGGGTCCACGTGTAGTTCTTATCTTCCTCCTCCTTCTTCAGTACAGTCTCCTCCTCCGTGCTCTTAACAGACTCCTCTATTATTGTAGCACGTGGCTGTGGCTCTGGTACTATCAGTTTACCCTCACTCACTAAAGTTAACAGATCACCCTTCACTGCAGCGAATCTGGCAATACCCGACTGTTTAATCCTTGCTATCACTTCAAACACCCCCTCCTCCTCGTCATCCTGCCTCAGAATCTGATGTATAAACAGGTTATCTGACTTATAACACGTGACTAGGTGAACCGCTCCGACTCGCTGAAATGAACTGAGAAGAAGGCACTGATGAGGTAATGTTAGTGTAGTTCTCTGCTTAACAGAGATGCTTGCGGAGGAGATGCCTGCGGAGGTGGTGGGGGTAACCGGGGTAACAGTCATGACATAGAGATTAGATCCAATACAGATGATAAGAGTCTCACTGTCTCCCCACACTGCTGACACATTAAAGAGAAGAGTCTCGGTGTTAGTGAACTCTACCAGTTCAGTATCTGTTAGAGCGTCTATTAGTACGTATCTGTTTGCTGCTGGTTTGTGGTGGATAAAGTAGAACTCTTTACCTGGAGGGGGGTTGTTGTAATTAGTGTTGTTAGGGGGAGTAAGTGATGGGGGGGGGGGGGGGGGGGGGAGCTATTTTAATTTTAGATGACCTGAAATTATGCCAAATATTATTGAAACTTTTGAAAATATCTGGTATATTTGCCGAGTGCTGGTAAACCATCAGTGTTTTCTATAGAAAGTAATTGGTTCAGTCCATGAAGAGACGATATATCTACAACAGTGCGTTATCATCACAATACAGCACTATGATGACCTGCTATATTATTACTAACCTGTAGGACTGGCTATGAGATGGTTGAAGAGACAGGAGGCTCTAGTCATCTGGTAGGAGTAGTCAGAGTCGGGTAACCTGGTCCGGTGGGGCGGAGTCCGGAGGGATCTGTACGTTATCTCGTGCTCTCTACCTGGCAGTTAGAAATATATTGTCAATTCATTAAATTCCTGTCTGCCACCACTTTAAGCTACCTTCTATTCATTGTGAAAATATGTGTTACAGCGCTCCCGAGTTGGTGTACACAAACTTCTCAACTTCTGTCCAATTATAATTTATATTCGGAACTTATGTGTCCGTGGCCGTGATCTCTTCCTGAATCTTGGGGGGCAATTTATTGAATTACCGTCCGCCACCTAGCCTACGAAGAAATAATGCTGATGTCCCCTTTTTAGTTTGCTTCAGACAGAGATCACCAAATCACGTACTAATTAATGTTGCTGAAGAGTACCTGAACTAGTCTGTACTTTAGGCACCTAAAGAAGTCTGTACGGGGCCTGAACTAGTCTGTACGGGGCCTGAACTAGTCTGTACGGGGCCTGAACTAGTCTGTACGGGGCTTCTCGAAGTTTTTTTCTGCAGAACATACCCCCGTAATTTGCTGATTATTTGAGACTTTCTGCATAATTTGCAGATATAATTCAACTTACTTATCATTGGTAATTCGTAAAGTTGTTCGTCACGCTGGATTGATATGTTTGTGGTGATAAGGGGCTAGAGTATTTAAGCAGTGTATTTTATAGATTAAAAAGAATTCAGATAAGTAGAACGGTATGATAAGGATGTATAACTTCTTTTTGTAATTTGCAATTTGTTATTGTTATAATGACATTAATGCGTATTATGAAAAAGTTTATCCTTCTATTTTTTTAAATGATAGATAATTTTTTATATAAGATACATAATATCCTTACAATAAAATATAAAATATATAATATTAATAATAACGGAGACAATTTCAATTGTTTCAATTGTTATTACTTTATTAAAACGCACCTGCAAGTCAGGAAACTGAAACAACTCCTTAGTTATAATATCAAGATTATGTTACCAATTCCTATTATTATATTATGTTTTTACAATAAATTATTAAAAAATATGCTTAATTAAGTTAGTAGGCCTTAGATAAATCTAAAAATATATTCTAATAATATATTCTAATAATATACTTTTAACTAAGTTAATGTTTTATAATAAATCTAAAACTATGGTCTACTGCGACGCCTCTTTGACCTAATGTAAAAAGTCATATTAACACCTTACTTAAACATAAGATTTATTATACACTTAACTAACTTAATATAAAACACAATATATTTCCTTGTCAAAACATAATAATATATCCATAAAAAGCGCTCAGCCTGTCAAACCTACCTGAAGTGTATTTGTATTGCTCGAACTTGGAATTTAACAAGCTCTTATCAGGCTTCAGACTGGTGTTTGCTCTACCCAGCGCTCTCACGAACTCCTCCTCCTTCTCCTTCTCCACTGCTGACATGGTGCTAGAAGGGAGGGAGTGTGGTTAGTTGGGAGGTGTTAATAGTGTGTTTACTGGAACATAAAGGGTTTAGAATGTGGAGTGGGGGTGGGTTCTGGTTTTACAAACTCAGAGGGGGTGTCAGCTGGTATAAAGCTCAAAATAGCACAGAATACTGCTGTTACTACCCAGGTGATGCAACGACAGGGGTTCTCGCAGGTTCTACATGATATGTGATGATACTTATATATAAGTTATAATAATAACAAATAAACAACTTGCTGGTAACACATCGCATACCAGTAAGGAACGTGGAAACTTTTCATTCTGTAGAATAAATTTTTTTTTCGTTCTGAGGAAATTGTGTGCTGTGGAATGTTTGATTCTGGGCTGATGGAATAGGAGTCTCTGGCCTTATAAAGCCATAAAAAATGTTTATAGTTTATCAGGAAAGTCTATAAATTCTATCATAACCATAGGAACCACCAATGTAACCACCATAGGGACCACTTTGATATCATATTATTTATTCCAACTCATTCTGAGTGTGTTCAACTCCTATTTATTCTACTAATTCTACTATTGCTATTATAACACAGAGTGTAGAACATCAGGTGTACCTGGATGACACACTATTGCAGTATGATGATCGTACCACATAGGACTTAAAGGACGCTAATAATTATGTAGATTGTAGACACGCCCTCTGATGTACTCAGCAGAAGATTGAACACGTAATAGAAGCCAACACTTAGGATCCTATAACTTCCAGAGTAGGATGTACTCAGTGGGTATAGGTTCATGAGGGGCGTGTAAAGGTGATTGTTATTACTCATCACAGCGTTACAGACTGCAGTGAGCAAGTTAGCTAGGACTTAGGATCTAGCAGGAGGAGTGTAACAGAAAGTGAGGGCCATGTTACAAAGTGTATTTGTAAACCTCATGTGACACGGCGTGTGACACATAGTGTACAGTATTCATAGACTGTGAGTATAGAGCAGTACTTGACACGGAACAGATTACTTCTGATCTAGAGGGAGTAAAGAGAACCAGAGGTTAAAAACAAGAGGAATAACCTGCACCAAGCAACATTGTGCCCGAAGCACTGGGACAGACCGGAGTAGAGTGAACTAAAGTGTATTTCTTTCTGCGTTGGTTCTTTTACTATTGTGTGTGGACAATGGACTGTGAAGGAATCTTTAAAGAATATAATTAGTAGATAAGTTGTAGAGGGAATATAGCAGATCATATTTAGAGGATAATAATAATAATAGAGGGAAGTTGATGAGAGTTATAGGAACACACATCAGAGGAGGATGGTAATGTGAACGTTAGTGTGTGAGTTTTAGCACCTCAGTGCGATGTTGTAGAAATATAAGACACAGCAAATATAAGACACAGGTAGTGTAGACCGTAGGTTCTGGAGCGTGGGTTAAGAAGCGTCATTTCAACTTAAGGGGTTCACATATTACGTAATCAGCCGAGAGGAGGGGGGGGAGGTTTCTAAATGATAACGCTAGTGTAATTTTGTCACAATAGCTTAAAAATGGTCCAAAAAATGATTACGTAATATTATGTGAACGGTCCTTAATTAGAGTCATAAGACTCTGCATAAGACTCTGCAACTATAAGACTCTGTAATATTAACTAATAATGTAATTTCAGGACGGCTGTCAGCCAACTGGCACATGAACATGCTCATAATAAATTAGACTCATTAGTCAGAGGCAGAACTATATTATCATATTTTAGCACTGTATATAATGTGCTGTACGGGGCCCCTGTTGGCCATGAGGAGTTGTTCCACTAACAGAAGCAGAACTACAGCACTGTATATATATTGTGCTGTATATGGGGGCCCTACAGCTACTGTTATACTGACATTACATTCAGTGTGGCCAAGGACTGTTACTTAATTAGTACGTGTTTTTCCGTTAATCCCAGAAATTAGTCCTCAGATTCATTGCAAGTTGGTGGCTCATACAATTGAGCTGGACTTTCCGTTCAAATTATTCCGCGAAATGATATTTGAAGAAAGTCGATTATCTCAAGATAAAAACACACACGTACCAGTACCAGCTGTTATACCCGGTAGAATTTAATTAAATTAAATTTGTGTCCTGTGTTAGTGGTATAATTCACACTACTATGAAAGCCCAACAATTAGGTGGTTCACTGTTCACCACTTAAGTGGTTCTCTGTATGACCATGAAGAAGAGACTCAGAGATTGTCTCGCAATTTCCAGGGCAGTGCTATAGCATATTTTCTCCAGGCTTCTACGGACACACTTTTAAAAATAAGCATTTTAAGGTATATTATGATATATTATATATTTATATTGCTTCATATGTTGTTGTATCTAAATATGGTCATTACGAACATTTTGCACCTATTCGGAAGTCTCTGTGACTTTCCTAGGCCAATTTACAACTCACCTATCTCTAAATTTCGAGTTTTTTTTTTCGAGCGAAACCAAAAATGAGTTTTTCGCTAATAATTCGAAAAGTAAGGGTTTTAGGTCGTATTATGTTGTTTCATAAGTTGTCTATAAGGACACGTTCATTGAAGTTTGAGGATATTGGTAAATATTAGTGACCCTACTAAATGGCACGATGATGTAAAATGTGTCACACCATAAAACTATATAAACCCTGAATGGTTAGGATAATCGTTTCATCCTCTAGATAAACTTTGTCGCATAACGATATCTTTATCAGACGATAAGATATCGCTTAAATGCGGCCGGCAGTGAGTTGTAAACTTTGTCACACTATAAAAACGTGACAGAGTTTATATGGACCCCTTGTTGCCGTGTTTGACCAAATTTTCGAATTTAAAATTTATAGGATAGTTGCATATGACCATTATCTACATATTTAGCGACTTTTTTCGTTAAATGGTAGCACCATGTAAACTCCGTCACACATTTAAGTTTTTTATATGAGGGATGTTTATGACATCCTGACAAGAAATGCCGAATAGTCTACATTATTTTGTGAACTGAATGTGTTTGGAATTGTTCACATATTTCATTGTTATAGGCAAATACAAATACAGAAGGCAGAAATAGGTAAATTTAGTCACATAAATTTGTATGATATCTCAACATGTGTGAAATTGAGTAAATATTAGTATACCAACTTAAACACCCTATATTACGTACTATGGATCAATTAACAATATTTCAACCATACGCCGGTCATATAAATTATTATATGGCAGTGATATGTTAACATTGGCAAAATTCCAACACCTGAACAGGGTAAAAATTTGTAAATTTCGTCACAAAAAAAATATTATAACTTTATTTGCTCCGTGTTGGCAAAATAACTAATTTATCGACATAGTGATGGTGATAAAGTAACATTATATACTAATTGAGGTATGATTCTTCAAAATAGGGGCAAGAAATGTAAATTTCGTCACATCAGCCATAGCATTAGTTAGATAGATTTTCTTTCATATCAACTGCCCTTATTATAGCTAGAATGGATTTATACAGGAAATATAGAAACCCATGCCCATTTTTCATCACATTGAAATTATACTGTTGGGGCAGGAAAAGTAAATTTCGTCACATTTCGGTAAATTAGTGATATCAAACTCAGCATTGTTAAACTTGGGTTCTGATTTGCTGAAAAATAACCAACCAATAATTCCTGGAAGAAAATTGAATTTTAACGGAGGTATGGTTCTTTAAAATAGGGGCAAGAAATGTAAATTTCGTCACATACGTAATTTTAAAATTTAGATAGATTTTATTTCCTACCAATAGTCCTTATTATAGTCGGAATGGATTTATACAGGAAATATAGAAACCCATGCCAATTTTTCATCACATTGAAATTATACTGTTGGGGCAGGAAAAGTAAATTTCGTCACATTTCAGTAACTTAGTAAAATTAAACTCAGCATTGTTAAACTTGAGCTCTATTTTGCTAAACAATAACCAACCAATAATTCCTGGAAGAACATTGAATTCTAACCGAGGTATGGTTCTTCAAAATAGGGTCAAGAAATGTAAATTTCGTCACATACGAGTACGTCATTGTAAAATTTAGATACAATTTCTTTCACGTGAACAGTCCTAATTACAGTCCGAAACGATTAATACAGAGATACAGGAAATATAAAAACCCCTGCCATTTTATAATGTATGTAATATGTTAATCACAGACTATTTCATTCTATAATCATTGTTTCCAAATTTAACCTATTTATGATGTCTTATCATTTTGTGACGATGTTTACATCAACTGCCCTATACTTGAATCAACTGTATCCGTGTATCATCCTTATATAGAGTTTTCCCGCAAAATTTAACTTATTTACGATGTCGTATCATTTTGTGACGATGTTTACATCAACTGCCCTATACTTGAATCAACTGTATCCGTGTATCGTCCTTATATAGAGTTTTCCCGCAAAATGTAACCTATTTACGATGTCGTTTCATTTTGTGACGATGTTTACAACAACTGCCCTATACTTGAATAAACTGTATCCGTGTATCGTCCTTATATAGATTTTCCCCGCAAAATGTAACCTATTTAGTATTTACGATGTCGTATCATTTTGTGACGATGTTTACATCAACTGCCCTATACTTGAATCAACTGTATCCGTGTATCGTCCTTATATAGAGTTTTCCCGCCTTCCAAAGCAAAATCAGATATAAATGATTTCGGAAATTCACCCAGAATTTCAAATTCCATATAATGTGACAGAATTTACATCATTTCCCAATAACCAAGTGCATGTATTAGCTAACTTTTCAAAACAACATATTTTAGGGCTATGATTGGCAGAAGAACCATCAAATAATGAGTTGAAAGGGTTTTGAGGACACCTCACAGTAGAAAAGAGGTCTCGTATTTTGAGTGTGACAAAGTTTACGAAATATTGCCTTAAAGCCGTTCGATCACTGCCCTTTAACCAATGTTGTATCATAATTGTTAGATTGACCTAATCTACTATATTTCAGTCCAAGGAATAATAATTGGGCAGCTATGGTAAACAA